AATTTACAATACCTAAAATTGAATACACAATAATTTACATATTATCACCACCAAGGATTCTTAGGTATTTTGGGTTCTATTGTGGTTGTTTTATGGAGAAGGCGACTGCAGCGCAGTGGATATGAACATGGTTTGCTCTATGTAGTCTAGAAAAGTGAAAAATCAAAATGGGGCAATAGAGGCTCGAGTAATTGCCTAATAGTAATGGATGATGCTCTAAACTTCTTATCGATAAAAGAAATCAAGGAAAAAAATATTATTAAAAAAAAAAAAGAAGAGGAACCAAGTATAGCCGCGCGGCTAAACGCTTCAAATATATTATATTTGAACAGTATGGCTGTCCGGCTATACCATTTATTAAAAAAATTAATGAAGCACCCAGGTATAGCCGCGCGGCTAGACTATTTAAATATATTATATTTGACAAGTTTAAAAAAGGACCCAAGCATAGCCATGGGGCTGTACTATTTATTTTAAAAAAACCCCAAGTATAGACGCGCGGCTATACTATTTTTAATATATAGAATGGCATTGGCCTAGAACCTCAAACCCACTATTTCCTTGTCCCCCTCAAGTAAGAAATTATCTTAACTTCTCATATTATTTCATAGTTAGTAAAATATGGAACGGTAAAAATATGAATAAAATACGGACGTGTTTTATTCGGCAACATTTTGGCAAGTTACAAATGAAAAGTTCGGTCACTATATAATATTTAAATATATATTATTTTTATTCAATAATATGTGACAATTATGTGTATAATACGTGAATTTTGTTTGTATTTATGAAAATTTTGTAAAAAAACACGTGTATTAAAAATGAAAATACATATGCACGTGTATTGTATGTTTGCTTTTTAAAAAAATGTGTATTCTACCGAGTCGTTAAGGCGTGTATGGAAAATGGAAGTATTATGAAAAAATACGTACGTACGTGTATAATACGAGTATTAAATGGAAAAATGCTAAATTCCTTATACGGGTAATAACTTTGGAAAAGTAAAAAAGATCAAAAAGGGACAATAGAGACTCGGGTAATGGCCTAATAATAATGGATAATATTCTGAACTATCTTATCGATAAACGAAAATCAAGGAAAACATTTTTTTATATTTTATTTTTAGGACTTTCAGCCGTTTTACCCCTTGAATTATGACCCTTGTAGAAATTAACCACCTAAACTAAAAAATCAACCAATTTAGTCTCTGAACAAAAAAAATATAGCCAATTTTATCCATGCCGTTAGATTTTTTCACATTTCATCCACAATTTTGTCAATAATATCACGTGAGGCATACATGGAACTAAAGTAGAGGGGAATTTTGACCTTCAAGATGCGGATCCAAGTTGGACCCACCCCCAGCCTCCTCCCTTAAAGCATTATTTTATGAAATGAGTTTAATTTTTTGGATTGATATATATATATATATATATATATATAGTCTCCTTCTATTGACTCGAGCCAACTTCAGGGAACCACATAACCTACAAAAGGTGAAACGAGAAGCAACTCAAGTTCAAATAACGTATGTAATTGCATACAAATTCATAAAACCAAATATTCATGGATGCATGATATATATATTGGTAGTGTGTACATGTCGGGTTTCTACCGTCTATCCCTCCTAGGGGCGAAGCCACACTGGGACCAGTGTGGTCTTGGGCCCCCACTCAAGTTTTTTTATATTTTAAAAGTAATATATTGTTATGTATTTCTAGATGTATATTATTTCAAATACTTTATGTTTTGATATGTACCCATATGTGTTGTGGCGAACCTATTAAGGCACAAATTGCTCATTTGCTCAGCTAGTGGTGATGCACTCCAGATGTACAGATTACCTTATTTTCATTTTCAGTATTTAAGTAAATGTCTTTGTCCTTTTACTTTCATTTACTTAAGTTTACAATGTAAATAAGGAAGTACCCCTTATTTGGATTCAAATAAAAATACTAGAAAATCAAATTCCCACCAAATCAAAATATGAAAAAAAATCGGTTTTAGTGCAAAATACGATTTATGCTAAAAATGATGGCTCATTAAGTCAATATATACTTCATACTAAAATCCCATAAAATCAAGTTTTCTTATTTGATGTCTAAGGAATAAAAGCCGCCAAAAATTATCTTGAGAAAATGATTATTCTGTAAAATCATTTTTCATACTTAGTCAATATTTTTAAATAAAACATTTTTTCATGTATGATATGAATACATGAAGGGACCTAAGGTTTTTTTTTTAGTTTGTGAAATTTTGATTTTTTTCTTCCTATTGAGTTTAATGGGGGAAAAAGCTTTAATGATATTTGCTAAATCGCTACTCTTTGTCTATCTCTTGCAATTTTTCTTGCTTAGAATGTATTTGTTTATCCCTTTGTCGAGGACAATTATGATTGCAACCAGTAAGCAATATAATTCTTGACATATGTGATATATATATACTATTTTTCGTATGTATTATGAGTTTGGATTTTTTATTCTTTATAATTTGTAAGAGGCCCCCACACACATGAAATCTTGACTTCACCACTGATCTCTTCCATACCATTTGAGTTGGCTATATATAGCTAGTTAATGATGTTTATGTCACTTTGATTATCAATTTCTAGTAGTTATTCCAACTATTAGAAATTTGAAAAATATATTTATAATTTTTAAGTTATTCTTCAAGAGTTATACTTGAAAAACAAAATCATCTGAACTCGAAGTTGTTTGGTCATTTAATATATGCAACAACAAAAAAGATAATTTGTTATAAAATTAAAACAAAAACGTGGACAATCAAATCACTAAAAAATTTCGAATTCAACTGTTTTTTTCATGAATAATCCAAGAAAGAAAATGTCAAATCTGAACGATTCTAATAATTAGTTTATAATCTAGAAATATTTTAGTTCCGTAAATTTCTCTGTCATTTGTGTTTAATTGTGATGTTCTGAGACCTGGTTTGCTCTTAGGCCAGAGAAGGGAAAGGGAAAACTTGGACACTTAGCGAGTTCTGCGAAGGAATGGTATAGTGGATGGTCCTGCATGACAACGTTGATAACCAAGGGACTGGTTGTGAAATCAAGTTGCCCCGCTAAGTATGGCTTTTTTTCATTTATATTTATTTGGTTTACTTTATGCTAACAAGGAACTATATGTAAGTATCTTATATTGTCAAAACTTGTAAATTTGAATCGCAAGATCTCTAGCCTTATGCATTTTTTAACAATTTTACGTGGAAATGTTTAGATTGTTTCAGGAGTAATAAATAAATCAAAGTGTCTTTATGAAAGTTGAATTGCTTACAAAATCATTTCCCATTAAGAAAATACAGCAGGAAAGGTATACTTTGATGTGAATGATGATTCACAAGTAGACTATGATGTGGAATTTATTAGAATCATTGATGAGTTGTAGTACTTAATTCTTGCCATTTAATAGAAGCATGTCTTGTCCATTGGCACATGGCCAAATATTTTCTTTTAGGTAAATAACATTTGATAAGAGGCTTTAGCTAATATATGATTACCATCTCTGGGACCTTGTTTGTGATATGGTTAGTTTCAATATGAGTTAGTACTTGACTGTACCAAATTCTGCGAAATCAAGTATTACATCAAGCAGTACCTGGAAGTTTTCAAGTTTCACTTAGATTGCATTTGCACATTAACAGATGCGTAATGCATGCCAACACTGTAGGTACATGCTTCCTGAAGAAGGTAAGGAAGCTGCACGTACGTGAATGTCTCATGAGGTCTGGTTTGGCAGAGTCTGAAGAACAATCTGCTAATGCCAAAGGGCTTTCTGTTCTGAATGTGGACAATATTTCACATCAGGGACTTGCTCATCTGGGCTCAGCCACAGAGGTGACATTGTTGCCCACTAATCTAAGTAGGAAGGAGAAACCGTTTGATATTCCACGGGAATACCTTGACAAGGTACATACCTAGCTAGCTTTTAATGTTTATCTTGAATTGTGGACTGGGAACAATAATCAGTTGATTTTTATATTAGTTTCTGAACACACTCCTTTCCAAGATTAAGCATATTAATTAAAGTGTGTGGTCTTAGTTGCTGCGGATCCGAAGCCAACCAAACCAAATATGGTTTTCACCTGAGCCAACCAACCTAGGGGCCCCAACATTGCTCATCCACATCTGAGGGGTTTCCACCTAATGCTTAAGACAATAAAAGGATAGGATTAAGGTTAAGGGTATTGTAAGAACATTGGTGAGTGGGTTGAGCAAAATGTCACTCTACCAGAAACAAGGGTCAATAGGTTCAAACAGTAAAATTGATTGACATATAAACCCATCATTTTAGGTAATAGTTCATCCCAAAAGCTTAATCATCCATATAGGGCCCAATGATGTATTTCAAGCTCAATAACCTCAACTTTATAAAACAGGCACATTATTGAGGCCCACTTCTGTAAGTTTTTGTTTCTGGTTTCCAGTTTTTATATTTTATATTCTCATATTTATATTTGTATTTTTTAAAATTTATTTAAAAATCTGTTTTGTAAAAGAGATAGTGAAGAAAAGCATGGAAGAAAGGAGGAGATAGATGAGAAATGAGAGAGGTCATGACGAAACGAAGAAGTGTACATAATTCTGTATATTTCTCCCCTCTTTCACATCTTTCGTATCTGTCATCTCTCTTCTCACTTTTCTTCACTTCTCCTTCCCATTGTTTTTTTTTTTAAAAACTTAAAAAACAAAAACAAATAGCAAAATGTTACAGAATGAGCCCTGAAGTTTTCTTCTAAATTTATCTTTTTGGGGAAATATCATGTCCGGTTTCTATTCAACTTCATAACCAAGTATTTTTGAGATGATATCCATAAGCTTCAGTTGATATCTCTCTTGCTTTTCCTTTCATTAAATTTTTTTTCATTGAGCGTGAAGAAATACATGAAATGTTACATTGTTTTGCTTCTTGTGCACCTGGTCATAGCACTTTGAAGTGCATGTTATAATTATTTGCTCTTTTCTAAGTCAATATTTTGTGATTCATTTTCTCTTTTCTATAGTTTATGCCCATGGGGTATTCTAAGGAACAGATTGTTCAAGCTTTTACTGAAGTTTCAGAAAGTTCCCTTGGCAAGGAAATGTCTTCACTATGGCCATCCTTTCTGTGTCGTCTTCGCGAAGAAGAAGTTTATGGTTTGCATTTGAAGTCTCAGACTTTAAGGAAAGATCTTTGTGCAGAACCAATCACTTACACGGTTGCAGATGGTAAGCTTTCTCTGTAAGATGCTAAGTCATAGTGAGATGCTCCAATTCTCCAAAACCATCTAAACCCCCTTTCTTATAAAGCTCATTATAATTGCTCAGGTCAGAGAGATTGTGTAATGAGTGAGAATAGGCTGACCACCTCTTCTTGCGATGGTGGACATGCGGCGAAGATTAATTCTGACGAGCCAGTATCAAAGTCTTTTACGTTCAGAGCTTGTTCATCCTCTGTATGTGATGTGTCAATTCAGTTTAAATACGATGATAACACTATTCCAGGGGCATATCTTGCATATTTGACTGATACATATGTCATGTACCAAGTACTGCATAATGGGGATAGAATCATGGAATGTCAATTCAGTTTAAATACGACGATAACACTATTCCAGGGGCATATCTTGCATATTTGACTGATACATATGTCATGTACCAAGTACACGGATCTACAGAGGAGCATGGGTGGTCAAGTGACCCCTGCAACCTCTGAAATCTGCCATTGAAGAGGAGAAAATTGACCCTTGCAAAGTGTTTGATGAAAGTCCCCAAAGAGCAAGAGTCTGCTTCTCCAGCGCGCTTCCCCTTTTTTTTTCCCTCCTCCTCGACGTCAAAACGACGTCGTTCTACTAATGTCTTCTTTTAAAAAAAAAAACCCTAGCCAAAACGACGTCGTTTTGGCTCAGGTTTAAAAAAAAAAAAAAAATGGGG